ACTTTTAACATTTACTCTGTATTGTTATTAATATTTATTTCTTTTAATTGTCATTATTTACATACCATTTTCGGTCTATTCACTAATTAGGTATTTATTAATTGATAGTTTAATTGATGCAGGTCCACATCAGGACGTAATGTCTTGCCTATCCCTCAACCTGCTTTATTAAATAAACTATGATGATGATGATGGTGATGATGATCTTAACGAAGTGCCAATAGGATCCATTCTTCTAAGACATTCGCTTACTCTTGACCGCTGAACCCTAATACCTCGGCTTCTCAAGGCACCAATAAATCTCCTTCGGCCAATATTTGGTGTGAGAAACCCCCCTCTTGCTTGATTTGTGTCAGGTGCAGTCAATTCTTTATGGATGAGGTCTAACTGTTCATCTGAAATGTTTGAAAACTTTTCAAGTTTATCATCTATTTCAAACATCTTTCTCCTTCTTTGAAGTGTAGATACACTGATACCGAGCAGCTTGGCTATTTTTTCCCAAGAAAAATGAATTGTACGTAAGTATTCTATTTGGTCCTTTCTGATCACAATGATTGGTCTTCCAGGTCCCTCTCTGCCTTCCACAGGTGGAGTAAAAAAACTACCTGATGAGCTTCCACTTGCTACAGTTTCATGAGAAAGGAGAACATCGTGAAGGGACTGCACATTATTCTTTAGGATATGCAAAGACTCTTTCAATGTATAGTTTTCTGGAGCTCTCTCGAGATCGTGTTCAATCAAAGTCAGTGTTGCATAAGCATCCTGTAATCTATGTTTTGTTATTTCGATGATTTCTTCTGTCCAAGTTGTTTCTTGGAAATTTATAAGAAGATTAACTATTCCTTTTAAATTCTGAAGGAAGAGTTGTAATCCTCGCTGATTTCGTTCCCTAAATATAATATACCTTGACATTTTTGCGGTTGTAAAATTACAACTTTGAAAACAAGATGGCGGCGCTCGACTCATACCTCTCTCCGCGATGAAAGCAATGGATCATGGATCCAAAAAATTAGCACACAATCCCCAAAATTTTATGAGTACCACGGAAAAAAATTTATACTATCATGATCCAAAAAAAGATATGTACATATACATTAAAAAAACTTTGAATCTGTTACGAAAAATTTGTATATGGCAATGAAAAAAAATTATACTCTTTCATATGAAAAAATAATATCAATGATTATATTATCGCCTTCAAAGTAATTTTTTCTTGCATGATACACAAAAAATCAAATATTAATACAAACAAGAAAGCGACACAGAAGCACTAAAACATGAAGTAGCATGAAAAAACAGTCCAGCCAATAGCATTTATTTAGAGTGTAATTTTGACCAGTATGGGCCTTCATAGTGGTATGCCGCTTGGTGAGAGATGGAGTTCCTATAAACTGCATATTGGGACATAAGGCAGTTGTACATACTCATGCGGAGGGTAAGTTCATTATAAAAACATAAATTTATAAAGTAGCCGGCGGGTACAATTAAAAATATTCCCTAGTTCTTATTAACCGAGCGGGAGGTGGGCATGATGAGGTACAAGAAAGTCTATTACGCTTAAAAAACACCGAGCTAGCTATGATACACTCGCTCCGACGAAGGGCTAACGCTCGAAACGTCAGCTTTTGTAATCGTTACGGTGGCCAATTTACCATTTCAACTTTGTTGATATATCCAAATTATTTGGTTACTCCCACCGAAGCAGCCCCAAACAGTTTCTTTCGAAACTATCAGCCTTTAGCTATGATACAAGTTTTTAAAATGCATAACACACCCCTGGCCTTGATTAAACAGTACACGCAAATGTTAAGATGGATCAAAGCGCTCCTCTTTTTAGTTCCCAGAATGGTGAATGCAGTCTTTAAGTTTTACAGTGTCTCTAAACAACCTTGTTTCTTTTTGTAATGCTTCTTGCAGGAATTAAAGAAGCAATTGTGAACTCTTGTGATGATATCATTCAGTGGGATAAAAGAGTTGTCGCGTTGGGAGCAGACGGGGCAAGTGTTAATCTTGGAAAGAAGGGCGGAGTAGTGGCGTTAATGAGGAAGGATATTCCATATCTTGTAGACTTTCACTGTCTGCCGCACAGACTTGAACTTGCTCTCCTCGAAATGCAAAAGAGTTGCATTTGTCAGTCGAAGAGGTCTATGACGTGATGAAGGTCGTGTGGAAGACTTACCATTATAGCCCTAAAAGTTCACGCGAATTGAAAGCTCTTGCTAGTGAGTTAGGTGTAGATGCATTAAAACCGACTCAAGTATCTGGGACACGATGGTTGCCACATGTCAGCCGTGCATTGAAAGTATTTATCAAGTTGGGAAAAACGTCAGAAGAACCAACTGGTCAGTATGCCCTTGTACTCTGTCATATGGAACACTTGAGTACTTCCTCAACCAGCGCTGACATCAAAGGTCGCGCAAAATTCATTGCCAAGAGGATGAGAGATGTTCAGTTCGCAGCTTTCTGCCACTTTTTGGCAGACATGTTCTCTATTCTTGGAAAGCTCAGCCTCAAGATGCAAAGTGATGACGTGATTCTTCGTGTAGCTGTATCTCAACTTAAGAAACAGTTGCATCCATTACTTGCCTGAAAAAAGTCACCATGTGCCAAATGGTTACTTGGAGAAATTTCTCAAGGTCTCGAACAAGTCAAGTAACAAAGACATTATGGTCTTTCAAGGTATAGAACTCGAAGGAAGTCTTGAGGGAAAAGTTAAACGCATCTCCATTGGATCGGGCCCAAGTTTCAACTCCGTGGTTAACAAGGCCATCGACCTCTGCCTGGATGGCCTCAAAGAACGTTTTGGCCAGTTAATGGATTCGCCAGACTCCTCCGACATCCATTCTCCATATAGTCCTAATAAAGTGATCCAGGACTTTTTGGTCTTTAATATTGATTCTTGGCCGCATAAAGATATAGAGTTGATTGTCTTCGGAAGTGGCAACATTGAAAGGCTGACCAACTGGTTTGAACCAGCTCTGCGAACGGCTGGATGTCAAGTAGATGATATGCTACCACAGTGGCAGTCTATGAAGATTACGTTCAACTCTCAGTTTCGTGACAAGGATTACAGCCGTTTGTGGAAAATGTTCCTGTCCAAAGATCCATACAAGTCAGATCTCAAAGACATCCTTCACCTGGTGGAAATCTTACTTGTACTTCCAATATCTGCTGCTGGCTGTGAACGTATTGTCTCCTCTCAAAACAGGATCAAGAGCAGCCTAAGAGCCTCCTTGAAAACCACCTCACTTGAAGGCCTTATCAGGATCTCTGCTCGTGGTCCACGTCTAGAATAATTTGATTCTGTTCTTTCTGTCAACCGCTGGTTTGCGAGAAACTGGAGCAAAGGCGAAAGGCACTGAAGGCCAAATTTTTCACGATAGACTATCGGCGACCAAATCCTGAAAATTATTCGCTAAATTCGCGACTAGAATTTCTAATCAAACCTTACTTAGAGATCTAGTGATTGTTGAAGATTTTTGAAGATAGATCTGCAGCAAAGTTCCTCGTTAAGCTCGTTTCCAAAAGGCAGCACATGCACGATGTCGAACGTAATTCTATCGTCACTAGACGCCATCTTGGATTTAGGTAACCTATAACGTTGTATATGATCCATTCTAGTGTCCTCTTTGTAGCTCGTGTGAATTTAGCGGGCTCATTTTTGATGTTTGTGGGACTGTATCACTATGACACGATAATCTATCTAGTACAGTGACAGGGTAAAAAACTTTTTTTATGTCGTGAGCAGAGTAGTTAGGAGAGGAACATGGAGCTAATCGCCATCGAAAAAGTGTTTTCCAAGAGAGACTCGATACGCAAGGCCAGGGAAGCTTTTTTAATTTCAAGAGGCAACACTATTTATCCAGATGGCCTTAACGCTCGCGAAGAAATGTATTAGTTTCTAGTTATTTATCCAATTTACCTCACTTCATTTCTATTTTTGCTCACTATTTTTATTTTTATTGTTATCTCATTGTCAATCACATTAGTTTTACATATTTCCGCTGTTACATCATACAGCTATCTATGAAGCATCACCCCAATTCTCTGTCAATTCCCACTACACCTGAAGAAGGCTGTTTTGGCCAGCCGAAATATAGTGCTCCTTCTTAAAATTTACTAATCTACGTTGTACCCGTCTTGCCTCTATATTTAAAGCCCCCTCAGCCCCACCCCCTGCGCCGTCCCTGGTCTTGGAATTAATAAAGTATACAATTGACGTAGCCCAGTTGGATTGTCTGCTAATGGAGACAGTGTTATAGTATAAGTAGCGTTCGTAATTAGATTTCATAGGTCGAAGTGTCTGGAGATAAATAAAGGGACTCGCCGCCATTCGAAGGCGACTTCACAGATTCAATGATATGCTCGAACCAATCAGATATGTCTTAGGACAATCAGAGGATACACTCTGCTTTCTTTGCATCAAATTTCCCAGCGATATGTCTACTTCTTTGTTAAAATCGGCAGTTTTTTTTTTAATCATTATATATTCAAAAAGCTTTCTTGTTATTGTTTTCCTCAGCTGGTAGATGTGGTTGCAATGTTTGTCGGATGCACCTTTACCGTGCATAAAGCACAAAAGGTTGTTTGGAAATAGCTTCCGTTAACAACTTGTAAGAAGATAATTATCTTTCACCGTGTAGAACCATAGATTGAAGTAGTGTTTTCACTGCTGCCTCGTTCGTTGCGTCGTAAAGATCTTAAAATCAGGTCACCTTTAAAGTCGGCAGATAAAATGGACTTTGGGCCTGGAAAAATGCATTCAACCCATGGAACAAATCACACGAGCCTGCCTAAAAGGGTTC